ATGAAATGAATGAATGAATGAAATGAATGAATGAATGAATGAATGAATGAATGAATGAAATGAATGAATGAATGAATGAATGAATGAAATGAATGAATGAATGATTGAATGAATGAATGAAATGAATGAATGAATGAATGAAATGAATGAATGAATGAAATGAATGAATGAATGAATGAAATGAAATGAATGAAATGAAATGAAATGAAAGAATGAATGAATGAATGAATGAATGAATGGATGAATGAATGAATGAAATGAATGGATGAATGGATGAATGAATGAATGAATGAAATGAATGAAATGAATGAATGAATGAATGATTGAATGAATGAATGAATGAATGAATGGATGAATGAATGAATGAATGAATGAAATGAAATGAAATGAAATGAAATGAAATGAAATGAATGAATGACTGAATGAATGAAATGAATGAATGAATGAATGAATGAATGAAATGAATGAAATGAATGAATGAATGAAATGAATGAATGATTGAATGAATGAAATGGATGAATGAATGAATGAAATGAAATGAAATGAATGAATGAATGAATGAATGGATGAATGAATGAATGAAATGAATGAAATGAATGAAATGAATGAATGAATGAATGAATGAAATGAATGAAATGAATGAATGAATGAATGAATGGAATGGAATGGAATGGAATGGAATGGAAGGGAAGGGAAGGGAATGGAATGGAATGGACTGGAAGGAATGAATGAATGAATGAATGGATGGACGGATGAATGAATGAATGAAAGAAATGAAATGAATGAATGAATGAATGAATGAATGGATGAATGAATGAATGAATGAATGAAATGAATGAATGAATGAATGAATGAAATGAAATGAATGAATGACTGAATGAATGAATGAATGAAATGAATGAATGAATGAATGAATGAATGAATGAATGAAATGAATGAAATGAATGAATGAATGAATGAATGAATGGAATGAATGAATGAATGAATGAATGAATGAATGAACGAATGAATGAATGAATGAATGAAATGAAATCAATGAATGAATGAATGAATGAATGAAATGAATGAATGAAATGACTGAATGAATGAATGCATGAATGAATGCATGAATGCACGGATGAATGAATGAGTGAATGAATGAACGAAATTAAATGAACTGAAATGAATTGAAATTAATGAAATGAAATGAAATGAAATGAAATGACATCACATGAAATTAAAAAATGAAATGACATGAAATGACTGAATTAATGTTCTGAAATGACATGAGGTGAAATTGAGTCAAATGATTTGAATGACTGACTGACTGACTGACTGAATGAATGATCGACCGACTGACTGACTGAATGAATCAATGAATAGTTAAATGAAATGCATGTATGAATTTATATGGTTTTGTTTTCAAACATTTATTTTCCCAGATTTTGCAGCATGTTGATGGTTCAAAAAACCGCGCGAACCTTTGCAGCGACATGCAACAGGCTCCACTGGGTTTCTTCGATCCTTTTGGAATGACCAAGGTGGGTGGGAATTCTGAGATCAATTTTCCACCAGGGGCTGCTGTTTCCTGAACCTCTTGCTCCAGTGTAGAAAAAAATATTCCTTTTGTAATCCTTTTGGAACATGAAGGAAGAGTATGGAAGAGTATGGCATGGAAGAGTATGGAAGAGTACGGAACAGTATAGACAGTATAGACTTTGAATTTGCTTCAAAAGGTTGATTTTCCAAATTACATGGTTGTCGACAAGAGGTGGCGAGAGGCCAATGTGCCGCTGGATCAGTGGACCTAAAACGATGTGAGGATGGCGACATGGAGGCCTTCAAACGTCGGCGTTCTACTGAATTGAAGAATGGTCGGGGACCACAGAAAAATAGCAAAACATTTTGCTACAATGTCAAACTTGCGTTTGCAAATCCCAACCTTGACCACTCAACAATGTCAAACCAAATTAAGGGAACATTATGGGAACCAACCGCACTCAATCATGACCGTTTTTGAGGGATTATCGTTGAGATTCTGGGTGTACAAACAAAAAGACAAGATTTGGTAGTTGTCCATTACGGAACGATGAGATCAGACTGTCGTTCTATGCAGAATGTGGACGTATGGGTATCTATTGGATATTTATTTGCATGTTAAATATAAGATAAAATAAGTATAAGTCTACATTTTGTCTCCGCAAGATGTATGGGTAGTGTAATGACTGACATATATTATATTGTGATGTCATGTAATGCAATGGATTGGGATGGTTTGTAATTGAATTGGTCGGAATGGAGTGTCATGGACTATCATGCAATTTTTCTTGAAAGAATTCCATATAATGTCATATAGTGCAGTGCAGTACTATGTTGAATTTTATTTTGACTTGACTGGCTGCCATTTAATGCAAAGTAGATAGATGTAATGCAGTCTTGTGTAATGCAATGCAATCTAATGTCATGCAGGCAACCTAATATTTTAATGTAATGCAACATACAGTAGTTGAGTTCAAATTTGGGTCAACACCTGATTTAAGGGCAACCACTCCTTTCATCATATTACTCTGATTTTCTTTCAAATAATGTGGACATTTGCTTTTTGAACATTTCTTTATTTTGTTTTGACAATTTTCTCAATCCACCGTTTTTTTTAAATGCTATGTTTACGTTTGAAAATTATATGTGTCAAAACTCTTTGAATACATCTTGTATGATGACCAACAGCCGTTGACTTAGAGGGACTGACCAAAATGGTAGCTGCAGATGTTGATTTGAGACGCGTGTTTTTTCCGCGAGGTCGTGTAGCTATGTTGGCGACTATGGGATACATTGTCCCAGAATATTTTCGCTTTCCAGGTGCGACTGGGTTTCCAATCTATGCGGGTACACCTAAATCATCCATTTATATAATAGGATTGTCCTCTATAGTCCATCCATATTGGGGATCCCCCATGTGTATCCATTTATGGAAAGCTGCTATTGTTAATTATGTTGTTCTTTGGATGGAACTGCTGATGTTTGCCGAAACAGGATACTGCTCTCCCTCGGAGGGGGTGAAATTTGCTGACATCCCCAATGGACTCGCGGCCATCAGCAAGGTGCGTGCGTCATCAGCACTTTTGTGTTGTGTTGTTTGCTCTGCAAACCACGGAGGAGGAACTTTCCATAGAACTTCCCGTCGCCTACGAGATTGGTAGCTTCAGATGACAAACTTGTAGAAAATGCCATCATTGCTATTTCTCAAACTTGCCCCTCCCATAATTTGCAAAATAGTTATACATATAGAACATAACATAACATAATATGATATAACATACTAACATATAATATATATATAATGTTATATATAATGTTTTAAAAATATAATATATATATGTATAGTATAAATATAATATATAATATATAATATATAATATATAATATATAATATATAATATATAATATATAATATATAATATATAATATATCAAATATAATATATCAAATATAATATATAATATATAATATATAATTTTATATATAATATCATATCATATAATATAATTTTATATCATTTGATATAATGTAATATAAATAATATAATATAATATAATAAAACATAATATAGCATAATATAATCTAATATAGTATGATATAATATAAATATAATATATAATATATAATATAATGTAATGATATAGTATAATCTAATATAATATAAGATAAAAGAACATGATACGATATATATATATATAATATAATCTGATATAAAATAAAGTAAAATAAAATGACACACATATATATATATATATTATATTATTATATATATATAATATATGTATATATAATATTATGTGTATATATATATACACATACATACATATATGATAATATTTACATATACAATATTATATAATATATGATATATATATATATGTCATAATATATATATATAGTCCAAGGAGATTCCAAGAGACCTGTTTCCCCAGGTCCCTGCAGCTGGTTGGACCCAGTGGTTCCTGTTCCTGGGCCTCATTGAGAAGGGCATTTACACCTTTGACCCAACCAGGGCACCAGGTGACTACAAGAATGCAGGCTTGGCCGGGATCTCTGCAGCGATAGACATTTGGGGTGAAGAACTGTGCATGTTTAGGATTCACGATAAGGTTGATGGCAAGGTTTAAAGCAGAAATTTGATCTTCGCCAAGTTCTAGTTTGGCAAATCAGACTTGCACAAAGCTACAGGCGTGTTGGGTGTGCCCAACGGCAGCACCATGACCCCTGGTGAGGGTCGCAACCGAAAGCTGAACTCTGAGTTGGCCAACGGACGTTTGGCAGCTGGGCTTTCAATGTGAATCCGAATCATGGCAGCAGAACCTGACACATGCCACACATCTCTACCGGCCTCTACCTTTCCAATCTGGATTGTGATAGCATTGTAGCCTGACAGTTTTGTTTGCTCCTCGAATTGCCATAGATTTGGTTAGGCCCAAAATTGAAAGGGTTTGCATTCTCAGCTTTCTCTCTACTTTCCAGTCGCACTGAGCCTCTGCTTTGTGCAAGGCTATGATGGCAATTATCGGCATGTTCTTCCAGGTGCAACTGCGAGCAACTTGGGCAGCTGATGGGTTTCCATCCCCAACCAGCTACTGTACAAACAGTCTTTGAAGAAAGTATACAACATTTGTGAATACAGAGACTTCGAATCTGTCGTGATATTCATGCCACCCACGCTTCATGGTTTCTCGAAACCATGAACCCCTGAACCCCTGAATGCAAAATCGTGATTTTCCACCATTGTCCCTCAACATCAGTGAATTAAGACGGTTGCGACATTTTCTTTCAGCCAATGAATTGAAAGATTCCAAATGCCCCGTACACAAGCTGGTTTCCGTAGCGCATCAAGTGTCGTTTTGTTTTTGGGGCCAGGATGGCTTGACTGGCTCTGCCTGGGGTGATTGGTCCAACTACACCGACTCGCCCTTGCGAGCCTTTGAGAATGAGCTGGGTGTCCAGGTCTGCGGGATGAACTTCACCTTGGTAGGGGAAAACTTGGGACCGGAAAATGATGGAAAACGCAACGGTTGAAGATGTTTTTCAAAGGAAAAGTCTGTAAGTGATCCGGAGGACAAGCAAGTTTGGACGGCCCTACCTGTTGGCCACTGGTACTTTCGAAAGGACTCACCGTGAATGAAAGTCAAGGTGAAGCGACACCATGTTGAGCCATTCATGCGCAAGACACTGTATAGCCGTATAGCAACTGTGAATAGCATTAATAGATACTAATAGTAGCTTGTTGCTGGTCACCCGAACCAAAAACATCCAAAACCAGCCAAATGATGCCAACATGAACCCCGCTACCTTCCGTGCACAGGCTCCTGTGGGGTACTTTGATCCCATGGGCATGTCCAAGGCACCTACGAGGGGTGGATATGGGTAGCGTGAGTTCCACGTACTTTGATACATGCAACTAATATACACAATATTATACAATATAATATATAATAATATATATAATATATAATAACATATATAATATATAATAACATGTATATATATATATAATAGATATGTAATATATTATAATATATGATATATAATATATAATATATAATATATGCTATATAATATATAATATATAATATATAATGCATAATATATACTATATATTATATAATATTTGTGTATAATATATATATATACATATATATATATATATGATATCGCAATATGTATATATAATATATATATATACTGATAGTATACATATAATACATGACATATAGAATATATATATATATATATTATAACACTTAACTTATTGAAGAAAAATCAGTAAACATGAGGAGAACACTTTTTTTTTCCTGGTGGTTAGGGTGGCATCCGATTCCCTGCAAACACCCATGTTCTTTGTCACCGGTCGTTGGGAGCAGAGCGGTGTCACGTTGTGGTCATTCTGGTCAGAAGCAGAATCAATGTTGCATTATCCACTTCAGCTTACGATCTATTTTAACCATCAAACTTATTTTCGAGTCTCAAATCGCAAACTTCATCTCCAATTAAAACATAATCTTCTGACGCACCACCAACATCCACCAACAACATCCATAAATATTTGGTGTGAATCATGTGTGAAACATACCCAGAAGATGGCTGCATTTGTACATTGTGCTAATTAGTCTTCAACCATGTACAGTTTTGATCTTCATGTTGAGCATCCTTCTCAGTGGCATCCACTACTATCCGCAGCGCCCTTTGCCCCATACCAGTGAGCATTTTTGTATACAATCTGTTGATCCTCATATCACCGTTCATCCCCATTGTTTGTCATCAACACCACTTGTTCATCGTGTTCATGCTCATCCTCCTTGCAATCCTTGCCACTTGCCACCCTTGCCATCCTTGCCGCTGTCGTGATCGTTGCTGTGGTGATTGTCACTTTCCTCGTCCTTCTGTCCATCCTCATTTCAGTGCCCTTGCGCAGGTCTTTCTCTTAGTGACCCTGCGCGTGGCCCTGCGCGTGTTCTTATAGTATGCCCCATAGTCTCGTTTTTGTTCAGTCACAGTCCCTCTGTCAAGTATAGCCAAAGGCAGCTGACCTTGTTTATTTTTGTTGCTGGACAACTGGGTTCCTCCCTGCTCCAGGATGGTGACCTAAAGACCTTCCGCAGACGTCGCGAGTCGGAGCTGAAGAACGGACGCGTCGCGATGTTTGCGACCATGGGATGCTACTTGCCCCGAAGAGCGTGGCAGGGATGGACATTGAGATCATGAGAGAGGATGAGAGAGGATGAGAGAGGTACTTGCCAGGTCTTTTGGATTCTTTTGGATTCTTTTGGCTTGGTTCCCGATGTTTTTGTGTGTATCTTCGTGGAACTGACTGACGTGTTTTTTCATTGTTTCTGGAATGATGGCATTGATTGTTAAGAATCTTTGCACTGTGCCGAGTCATTGCTCCGGAGTACTTTCGCTTCCCTGGCTACCTCTCGTTCGGGGACCTTGATGGGAGTGCGGCTGAAACATCTCTTGTAGGAAGAACAGCGTGATGGATGCATTCAACATGATTGAATTCGATTTTTCCAGTGTCACTGCCTTTCACCACAAAACATTGCAAATAGTTTGTGCAACTCAAAATGATCTGCTTGAACCTCAACTCCACCCATGCAGCAAGTGGGAATGGACCGATATTGAGAGCCCATATTTAGAGATACAAGAGTTACAAGAGATGTTGAAGTCAGACGTGGATCTCTGACCGATCATTCTTGCCTGCCCTGAGGCCTGCCAAAGAAATCAAGTTTGCCGACGTGCCCAATGGCCTCGCTGCTTTGGGCAAGGTGGGCACTGCAAGAGACACATGAGATGGACACACCACAATGTCCTGCTGACATTTGCTGACATGATCTGCGACGCGGTGCCCGGCAGTGGTGCCTACGGGTCGAGCAAGCGAGATAGACACACACACACAGCAATATCAGCAATGCAGAGGGCCGGTTAGACCTTGCAACTCGTACTTCCTGTTCTTGGTACAGTATTGCTATGCTGTTGCCAAAAGGGTAGGAAATGGCATGCAGATGCACTGGATCTCCACGCTTGTTCAGCTGCCACCAGGGATCGCAATTGTGGTTTTTGAGTGTTTACTCTTGTGCCTGTTAAGCCCTGCAGTACTTGTAGAGTCGATGCATGAGAACGTGCCTTGAAGCGTAGTTGCAGCTTGATGATGATGATGATGATGATGACGACGACGATGACGGGTTGGTGGCGGATTCTGTGTGACGTGCACAAAACCATACAAAACATATCAAAACATTACAAAACATTACAAAACCAGGATCCAAGAAAATGTCTTGGAGAGCACGTGTTGCGAGATAACCTAGGGTTATTGATTCGCGTTCCACCAGATTTTTGGTGTCCCGTGACATGTTCAAAAGACAAGTGTTGAATGTTTTCGTATTGTATCCGTGGCCAAACCTTTGCTGCACAAACGCAGATCAATGGAGGTGCCTTTGACCGGCTGGATCCAGATCTTGGTGTTCTGCGGCATGGTGGACTTCGGCCTTTACCGGTGCGGGGGCGGGATCTTGTACAAAGTGTGGTGTTGCATGTCGTTGCCAGCAGGATTCACAAACAGATTCTGTCACTGGGATCTCATCCATTTGATTTTTTTGGACCGGTTTTCGTAAAATTGCCTGAACTCGAACATTCCGGAACGGTTTTAACATTGGCACATCACAAGTGCTACAGTGGAATGCTAAAGTCGTGCCTAAAATTTGGAAATCATCGTAAATAGCTGGGGAGCACTTGATTTGAAAAGTCGTGCCTTTTTAGTAAAACGCATAGGAATTGCAATGTTTTGTTGGATTTGGTCTTTGGAATAGTTTTTGTTAATAAATATTGCGTTTAGGTTGTGTTTAGCATCAAGAGTACCTTTTCCACATTGTTAATAAATCTTGCGTTTAGGTTGTGTTTAGCATCAAGAGTACCTTTTCCACATTGTTAATAAATCTTGCGTTTAGGTTGTTTTTAGCATCAAGAGTAAACTTTTCCATACCAAGTCAAACTGGATGTGAGTGTAGCGATGAGTTGGTGTTTCTATCTTTTTCTTTCCAGTGTGCTGTGGCAGCCATTTTCACTTTTCACTGCGTGCTCAACGCGGCATTGTGGCACTTCAGCGTGTTGCTTGAGATGGAGCTGAGAAGGGTCATTGTTGTGTCTTCGTGTCGGTTTTAGTTTCTTATGTGGTTCCGCAGGCGGGTGGGCAGAGAGCCTTTCTTGTTATTTTTTGACGTCGTTTGCTACGTCGTTCGGACGTCGTTCGGCACGTCGTGGTTTCAAAAATAGGAAACCTATAGGAGAGGTTGGTTGTTGTGAATCACGGATGGCAGAGCGAAGCCACTGATGGACCGAGAGCAGCAAAGCGAAAAGAGTCAGCAAAGCGAAAAAAGTCAGCGGACCGAAGCGGCAAGTATTTCTCAACCCCAGAAACATGAACGGTAGAATGCAACTGTAGACGGATTTTTGCGAACATTTGATTTTCCCAAGTGTGGAAACATTCTTCTTATACATACGCGATTCCATGGTGTTTTAAGATTTGGGCATGACTTAGGCATGAGTTTCTTGAAACAGCGATTCCATGGTGATTTACTAGCAAGTTTTGACCCAGGCATGAGTTAGGCATGAGTTTGTCGTTTGACTGTAGCTTACCGTCTGTAGCCACCTGCAGGGCTGACGACTCCAGGGACCCTGGTGACTATGAGATGCTTGGACTCGAGTTGGTGGTGGTGAAACAGGGCAAACCGTCTCTTTCTGTGATCATGTGTCCAATAACACGTTGCTGCATCTCTCACTTGGTCCCCCAGATTTAGTTTTTCCTGCCGCAAGAGGCTTGAAATCAAGGCCATTTTGACACTTGCAGTGTGTTTAATGAACGATATTTTGAAACGCAGTCCAAGGCTGCAGATTGCACCCGATTTTGCCAACCCTTTGCCAACCCTTTTCCCAACAAGAACCGCTGCGTTCAGGAACGCTGGCATCCTGGGTGTGCCAAACGCCAGCGGCCCCATGAGCGATGTGGACGGTCGCAAGAGGCCAGCGGACCGCGAGAGCTTGGATTCATAGTCTTGTTGCAGTAACTTTGAGCTCTTTTTGTCACCACCGCTGCCACCATCACCCTCACCATCACCAGCACCAGCGCCATCGCCATCTCCATCACCATCACCATCATCAACAACACAACTTGTTTTGTGCGCGTCATAAAGAATCCTCCACCATCACCATCACCATCACCATCACCATCACCATCACCATCACCATCACCATCACCGCCGCCCCGCACCCCACCACCAGCACCACCAGCACCAGCAGCACCAGCAGCACCAGCAGCACCAGCAGCACCAGCAGCAGCACCAGCAGCACCAGCAGCACCACCAGCACCACCAGCACCAGCAGCACCACCAGCAGCACCACCAGCAGCACCACCAGCAGCACCAGCAGCACCAGCAGCACCAGCAGCACCAGCAGCACCAGCAGCACCAGCAGCACCAGCAGCACCAGCAGCACCAGCAGCACCAGCAGCACCATCATCATCATCATCATCATCATCATCATCATCATCATCATCATCATCATGATCGTCATTGCGTTTGCCACACAGTAGTGTGAGTCAACAGCGGCCTTGCGCAACAGCACAACAGCTGGCTATGGATCGATTCGGGGCAGGCTGGGAGTCGCATTTCCGCTGTCGGCTAGGAAACTGAACTCTGAACTGGCCAACGGCCGATTGGCAATGGTGGGGATCCTATGGCAGATGCGAAGTTGTGGTCTAACGGGTCGAAAGAGTCGAAAGTGTGGAAAAGTGCAAAACCCGAAAACTGGTGGAGCAAGAGCGGATGATTAGTTTGGGGCTGCTGTTGGGTGCCTCATTCTGGCCGCTGTAATCCAATTGCTGTTGAGGTGGCCATCACTGGGATGCTCTTCCAGAACGGTGAACTGTAGCATTTGGAAGTTGGGGTGTGGTGCTTCTTAAATGCTAGCGGCTATCTATCTGTTCCAATTTGATCAATTTGCCAAACTCGCTAAACTGGCATTTTCTGCTAAGATCCTTGTGCAAATTAGCTGGCCACCAATGGCTACAGATGGATACAAGAACAGTTATTGGAATTAGAGTCTCAGATGTGGAAGCCGACACACTTTGATGTTGCTCATGGCTTGTGACCAAGGGCTTTTAGTTCTTGGTGTTTGTTTTAGCAAAAACTTAGGGACACAGGAGTCCTACCCAAAAACCACTTGTTGCTTGTTTGGAGTCGGACGTCCCACCAATCCACAACATGCCTCAAACCACAAAATTTGTTTATCTTTGTGGATGACAGTCTGGCCAGCCCGGCCAACTAGCCCAACCAACACCCAAAACCGCTGCATTGACGCAGGAATGTTCGGCACCACTGGTCCTGCCATGTGGGGCTTTGGTTCCTAAATTCCTAAGGCGGGGAGATTGCGGTGGGTGACCGGGTGACCCACGTCAGATCACTTGATTTGGTGGTCGACTTAGCAGATTTCATCAGCCTCCGCGCTTGCCCTCAAGTCACAGCATGAGACGCTACACTGTAAGTTCATCCCAGTGTAGCCATCCTGGACCTGGACATTCAAACGCTCTAGATGCTCTAGTCATGCTACTCCCCAGAAATCCTTGGTGGAATGAGGCTGGCAAGGTCCGCCACCTGCATCTGAATTGGCCACGGGGGTCGCCAGCCACCTCTAAGAGGCGATATGGGCAACCGATGACGCGCTGCATCACCACTGAACGTGTCATTTTTATATATTGTTATCGTTGTTTTTCCAAAAATTGAATATTGCAGTATATAATCCAGATTCCCAAACTTCTACTGTTGCGTTTTTGGAGACTTGCTTTTCAATTTTTTCAATATCAATGGTGACACAGTGAAAAAAATGAAAAGAATCTCTTTATCAAACAATAATTCAAACGCCGCATTTCAATGTCTGATGGCACGCCCGAAAAAAATGTCTCTGCCACATTGCTGGGACGGGATTGCATAGGTTGCCTGCCAAGTCTCTTGAAAGCTAGTCCTCTTGCAAGACTTTCACTTGACGAGAAGATCTGGGCCTTCGCCATTGGGCTCAAAGGAACGGCTGGCTGTGCGTAGACAAAGTTGCTGCATTTTTGGCCCTTTTTTCTTGTTTTCCTTTTTAAAACATACAAGTAGTGAAGAGCCTTGGATGCACGAGTGGAACAATGTGTCAATCGTTGGTGGGCAAGGAGGGAGCAACTTGCTTCTTCTGCAACTGGGGAGTAGAATTTTAGGAACTTGAGCAGTCGAGGTGAAGATGATGTGCGATTAATATGTTGTTGCGCCATGTTGCGCCAGGACTGTTTGGGAATACGTGGTTGCAGCTTGAGTTCTGGTTGGAGAGAGGACTCTGTTTGATTTCTTTCTTTAGATGGAGAGAACGAGGTTGTGATAGATTCGGATTTACCATACTCGAAGCTTGATAGATTCTGATAGACGCTTGTGTTTGCGGGAGGGACATGTGACCATCCTACCGGGGTGATGTTGTACGCTAGGCGCTGCTTTGTAGTTGACTGACCTTGTGTCATTTGGCAGTTTTCTGAGGTAAGATTTAATATGATTGTATAAAGCCAACTGGTGTGAAGTTGCACAGTGTATTCTGCAGTTTTGCTGGCCAGATTCTGAGAGTCACAATGCCAATTCTTGCTCCTGTAGTTTTATAGCCCTGTCCAGCATGTTCGACTTGGTTCCATTGGGATCAAGCTAAGGATGGCTCCCTCTCGAGTCACTGCTACGGCGGCTGCAGGTGAAGGGGTTACTGTAGTTTCCTGCTGGAAGATCCATCACGTCACAGGACTCAAACAATTTTAAACGAACATAGAGTAGCCATCAGGTTGGTAAATTTGTGATCCCCCAGTTGTTGGACAATGTTTGAATGAGCATTTCACCAACCCAGCTAGCGCGTTTGAAACGTCACATACTGACCATGACAAAAATCCAAGACTAACAGGCGGTCAGTTTCCAGATCCAGGTGTTGCTGCAGTCGTGGGCGGAGCAGCCTTTGTTTCTACCACATCAAATGTGTCCACCGGACACTTGCGAGTGCCATGTCAGGGAGGAGAAGCGCGGCCGGGTCTGACAGTGCATATATGAGCTGGGATCACAACACCACCCCCATCACCCCCACTATAGTCATTTCCTCTCGCCGGCCACCGGCCACCGGCCACCGGCTCACTGGCCACCGGCTCACTGGCCACGGGCTCACCGCTACCCGCAATCAGCTCACCGACCACGGGCCACCGGCTCACTGGCCACCGGCCCACTGGCCACCGGCTCACTGGCCACCGGCTCACCGCTACCCGCCATCAGGTCACCGGCCACGCCACGCATCAGCAGATTCCTTATAGATTACCACCACAGACATCGAAACACAAGTCAACGGCCGGGAACAACAAGCAACCGTGCGCCAGGAAATCGCACAACAACAAGACCCCATGCTTCCTTCATGCTGTCCTGATTTGACCTTGTGACATTCACAGATGCATTCCCACGGGGTAGAACATGCTTCACCACACGGTTTTCTTGCATTGTGATGGATGCATCATATCTTGGAATAAGTGCTGTTGTACTGAGAAAATCTTGTTCCATGGCCTGGCCCGGTACATGATGGGAAGTCCATTTTGTCGCTTCAGCATAGTTGCATGTGGGTCAACTGGCCACGCTTCTTCACTGCTTCCGAACCGCTGTTGAGGCTCAATTTTCCCAGGTCTTGAACCAATCAACGAATATGTCGCACATGTTCTTTCCACACGGTCACGAAATGCAACTAGAACGCGTTATGCTACAATGTGTGGCCACCCTTTAGCTTCCACCTTGCCTTCTGTCCCGCTTGTTTGCCCATGGATCGCTGCCCTTCTGTGTTTGTCACTTCCCAGAGAAAGGTTTTTCCGCAGTGTCGACAACCTTTGAAGCAGGCTACTAGACCAGGCCAGTCCGGAGCAGTGGGCGCCCAAATCATAGCAGAGCCTGACATTATCGCGGCTTGGCATTTATCCAGCTCTTGCCCTGCCTCCTGTCAGCAGGCCAGGTACTGGTGTGGCTTCGTCGAATTTCGCATGCTGCGGCAAAATAAGAGGTGCACCTTGCGCAAAGAGATTGACTTGCCTGATCCGGACTATTTCTTTCTCAATTCTAGAACTGGTTTAGCAAGATCTTGGCTCCGACGCTGGCGGTACAGAATGTACCTTCACAGGGCCAGTTTTCAAGGTGAAGGCATTTTGCTTCGACTGCTGAATGCTGCTGTTCGATACCACATCCGCCATCAGCTCCGAGAAGGTTGGCTTCGGGAGATCCTCTGCCGTCGAGCTGCGGAAGCTGGCGTTGACGTGTCCAAGACGCTGCACGAGCATGTCTTGAACGGCACGGCCGAGAAGCTCATTGCAGCCAATTGGATTTGGTATGACCCCCTCATGTTTGCCAGGCTTGGTCGATCTGAATTTCTTGTTGTTGACGCCCCGACAAAAATTTTCCCCAAAAGGCATATAGACTGTGCAACGCTTAGCAAAGTTCATTTTATCCTGTAGCAATTTTCTAAGTTGTCCAGCTCATTTTTGCCACTCTTGCCACACCTGCTCATGTCTTCCAGGCGTGCACAGACGCACCTGCGGAATGCCTTTTGCAGAAGTCGTCCCTTCTCCTCACTTGAACAAGCTGCTGCTTCGAGGCTGCAGCGCCAGACCACATGGTTGCGACACGCTCTGCTGGAAGCATGCGCAAGACAGGGATCGTCCCCAACAGCATCGGGCAGAAACTATTGCCCGCCATCGCCTCAAGAAGGCTTTGCATACTGATGGTGATGTGTGCCACTTTGAAATCCAGCTTGAAGGGTTTCGTGGCTGGCAGCCAGCTTGCACTATCAAAGAAGAAGTGTTGGCCAAATATTTTGCCTCCCAAGCTGACAAGAACATTCGGAGAAGAAGGCAGTGCAGAGTTGAGGCCCGCGCTCAGAAGTGGACAGGCCTTAGACCACGCAGAGCGAAGACTTTCTTAGCACCATGGCATTCTGCCCAGCCTCGAGAGAAAAGCACTTGCGGGACCCACAAAGAGGGTCGCAAAGATGCCCATGCTGCCGCACGCACTGCTGGTTTCCTTTTTGCTGTCACCGAGTCCGGCTTGCTCCTGGATGTCATGGAGCTTATTGGAGCAGAATCATTGTCGCAACGTTTTCATTTCGCTGCCCAATGTGCGCACAGGTTGCCCAGTCTCACATGCATTGTTCATGATGACAGCTGCCACTTGAAAGCTATGTGTCTGCGCAACCAAGCTGATTCTCCTGTGGCAGCTCGGCTGGCCAATTTTGACTTCATCATTGATGAGTTTCACGCTGCAGGACATTCTGGTGCATGGTGCAAGGAGACATGCCTGCCAAGTCTGCAGCGCAACAAGGAGGTCCTCAATGGCTTCCCCACTGAAATCGCTGAAAGCGTGAACTCGCAATTCAGCCCTTTGGGCCATTGCTTTCATCATTATGGACCTTGGTTCGCGCAACTCGTCTTGCAAGAGCTGGCAGATGTCCACAACCTCTCCCGACTGCAGTCGCTGCAGGACAAGAAGCGTGGCTCTGAGAAGAAGCGCAAGCGGGAGGTTGCAGCAAGTGCTGCTGATAAGTGAGACCTCAACTCACCCGGGCAAGGAAAAGTTGTCAAGGCTGTGCTTTGTAGTGTCCAGTTGTTTTGTCTTTTGTCCCGCACTCTCTGGGCTTGTTCAATCATCCATGCTGTAATGCCGCGCTGCTTTTGACAGACTGACTCGTACCTCATGTAATGCCATTCTGATCACAGGTAAGCACTTGTTGCAAAGCAAAACATTTCGATACTGCATGCAAGTATATGCAAGTACATACATGTCCTTCGGCAATTAGTGTTGCAAGTCATTGCCTGAACAAAATTCTTAGAAGCGACAAGCTGCGCAGAAAGGCGCTCGCCAGCGGGATGCCGGCCTCACCTCCGGAAGAGTTGAGCAACAAGGCTGTTGATGCTCTGTGGACAGCTGCGTTGGATGTTGTGAAGGACAATTTCAATGCTGCGGAGCACCTTCCCAAAAAAGTCTACGATTTCCTGCTACCAATAGCTGCTTCGACGTGCTAAGGCCTCTTCTCCACTGTCATGATGTTTGCGGCTGCCATGCCTGCCCTCTCCAATGGCGCTAGCGTGCGCGTGTGGAACCAGAAGCCTAGCCCCTTGGCTTTGCTTGTGTTGCACATGGCGCCGCCTCAGCGTGGAAAGTCACGGCTCTTTCAAGCAGTGGAACTTATGTTCGAAACTGCAGATGACTTTGTCGCGAAGCTCGCCAAGGAGCAAGCAGATCAAGTAGCCGCCAAGTTGGCACCTCCCGTGGAAGGTGCCGGGCCTTACCCTGAGCTGCAAATCACGACCAAATCCATTTCCCTTCAGAGCTTTACAATGACGGAATTCTTCTACAGGTGCTCCGTTGAATTCCCACAAGTCGAAATTGCTGGGAATAAGAAGGACAAAACCGCTGCGCGGGTATGGTACGGGCAGGCGTTCAACCTGGATGAGTGCTACGAGTTTCTGGAGCAAATTGGCTTGGTGGGTGCTCGAGGGGACCGTGGTGACAAGCCTTCCGGCCCAGTGAATTCCCACGCAAGCACTTTGAACACTTTGGTGCAGCGTGGGAAGACTAAGCGAGCCACTCGAACTTCAACCTCTTATGAAAGTTCACGGACTCAGCACATTGCTCTTTCCATTCTTGGCAATGGGCACCCATCCAAACTCATCAGCATGGAGAATGGATTGGAAGGTGGGCACACTGCTGCCACTAGGGAAAGGTTCTTATTTGCTGTGGATGTATCCACAGCAAGGCATGGAAAATTGCCAAAAGATCTCCTGCGAGCAGATGATGAGCTCCCAGCTTGGACATGGTTGCCTCTGACCCCTCTGCAAGCAACCATCTTCCGGTGGACTAGCCTGCTGAACAACCCACGCCATTTTGAGGACATGTCAAAGATAGAAGATGAGTCAGACGAGGAAGGGTACCCGGCCGTCCTCCCCGATGGCGTCAGGTCAAGGGTTCGCTACATCGAGGGGACAGACACCAACGGTGCCTTGAAACCATTTTGGATATACCAAACTTCAGTAATTTCGTCACGCTTCAACGATGGGACTAGATCAGTATAGTTGTGGCACCTGACCACGCTTCCATGTTTCTCATGAGCCGTCCGTTTGAGGTCAGACTGTGGTGGTGCGGACAGAGTGGCGAATCAGCGGGCGGTGGCTTCTGAAGGACCAGACGGAGCACATTTGCGAAGGTGCGCGCAGGGTCTGCCACCATTTTGAGAAGAGGCCGCATTCGGTCCTGACTTTGCGTGAAGATGCGCAACGATTGCTCTTGGGCCACTTGGATGCATTATTGTTGCCGCCCTTGTCGGAAAAGTTTCAAAGCTTTTGCATTGTAATTCTGCCGATCTCCTGGGCGCATCATGGGATCAAGTGCTGGGTTTTGTTTGATATGTTTCAGGCAGGTTCTTCCAAGATCTGCCTAGTGTGAAGGCACGTTTTGCGCATGCTGCATCACAGTTCATCAGCAAGAAACTTGACCTGACCAGGCAAGGCCTTCATGAAGAGGGGCAGACCGTGCCTGCAGAGCCTGATTCGCATGTGCCAGTGGATGTGCCGGCAGGAGTCTTGCAAGATGAGGACCGACTCTACCACAAAAAAGGTCGAGGTAGGGATGCAAAAAAAACATACTACTACATGCTGTGTTTTTGGTGCTGACATGTCAAAGAACCTAATGATGGGATGTTGCTTCTGTTGTAGCTTTGTGAGGAGGACAACTCTGGAGAAATGCCTGCGCCTGTTCCTCTGAAGTTTTCTGATTTGGAAGCGCCAGAAACCTTCTTCGCCAAAGGGTTCGGCAACAACAATTCAATGCTGCTTGCCTCCCCGGATGGTCTTCTCAAGGACCGCGAGCTTGTGCAGAAATTGCTTTTGCTCGGACGCAGCGAAATCAAAATGTCCAAGGTTGTAGACGTCTATCATGTGGTCAAGCGGGTTGACGGAAAGAGGCGGAAAGCTCGACCAAGCCAAGCGACTGTTTCTCGCCAGTCCATTCTGCTCTTCTTTTTGAAGGCGACAAAGGTTGCAGATTTTGGGATCTCGAATTTTGATAAAAAGAGGCTGATACTATATTATTACCACGTTTGACTTGACAAGCATCTTCCAAAAACCACGACGTTTCCGTTTTTCACGCCAATCTAGGCTTTGCAAGTTTTGACGAAAGCCTTTGAGCTTTATCCTCGTCTTGGACGTGTCTCGCCACCTGCGCGGCGGGGAGGTGATACTACAGTGTTCCTCCGCGCCTGGTCTTCCAACATGGCCAACCAGACGCAGTACCACAACGAAGCAATGAAGTGCTGCAGGGTCAGTATCCGCGAAATCTCCAAGCGAAGAGCTTTGTGGCATGACCGGCACGCTGGGGAGGAGAGGCTTCCAAACATTCCTGCAGATGAGGAGGACCTTGCCCACTCCTCTGCGCAGCCTCGGCTGCCTCAGCCTTCTACTCCACCAACGGGCCGGTGCTGAACATCTTGATATGAGAGTCCGTGAGCTGTGCGAGCTGCATCGCTGAGACAGAGAACCAATCTGCTCATTTGCCACTTTGCCTCCCTTCTCTTTCTTATCATTATCAATCATTTCCAGCCAAAGCTAGAATTATATATAGTACGCATAATTATCATGTTGTAATCACTCAAACAGCTTGGGCTTCCGTCATCTCACAGAAAGATTCAGGATTCGTTCCAGCCCTAGCATGCTTTACCACGGGATTTCTTAGCTTCTACTGGAGGACCTATCCCTTGACTTACTTAGCCGTCAAGTTCCCCAGCAGCTGCTATAGATGAAATTCAGAACCATTTTCACACATGTGATAGACACTGCGTGATGGTTTATTGCTTCCTGTATCATTCACATTGCGCCCTGCCCAACAGACTTACAAACGCCTTAACAGAGGACTGAGGACCAACGCAATTGGCTAATGACCACCGGCCACCGGCCACCAGTTCATTAGCTCATTGGCTCACCGGCCACCCCAACGGACCGCTGACAGCACCGTCACCACCCACCACCCACCACCGGCTCACTGGCACACGGCTCACCGGCTCACCGACCTATACTGCCCTACCGGCTAACCGGCTCACCGGCTCACCGACTCACTGGCTCACCGGCTCACTGGCCACTACCGGCCACCTGCTCACCTGCTCAGGCTCACCGGCCACCTGCTCACCGGCCACCTGCTCACCTGCTCACCGGCTCACCGGCCACCTGCTCACCGGCTCACCGGCCACCGGCTCACCGGCCACCGGCCACCGGCCGGCCACCGGCCAGCAAGATAAAACGACTATTCCCCCCAGCCAGATGGTTCCCCCCTCCCCCCCTGTGGCCTGGGGGGGGTTCCCAACAACAACAATCCTACATGTCCTACATGGGTAGTCTTTGTGCATTTGTAAGTGCTTGATGTCCAGGTTATAGGGAGTATATGGAGGGTATTTAAGGAGTTTACAGGGAGTATATATGGATATAGAAGGATATAGTATATAGTACTTGGGCACGCTATGTTGTGTATTGTAATGTCATGTAATGTAACGTAAATCAATGTAATGTAATATCATGTATGCAACGCAATGCAATGTAATGTAATGTAATGTCATGTAATACAATGTAATGTATACAATGTAATGTATGTAATGTATGTAATGAGTGTAATGAATGTAATGAATGTAATGAATGTAATGTATGTAATGTATCTATTGTAATGCATGTAATGTTTTGTAATACAACGATATGTATATATAGTGATATAGTGTTTTGCATTGTAATGCAATGTAATGTTTTGTGATGTTAAGTAATGTTATGTAATGTGACGCTAATGTTATGTAATGTGGTGTAATGTAATGTAATGTTATGGTATGTTATGTTAAGTCATGTATGTATGAATGTATGAATGCATAAATGTATGAATGTATGAATGTATGAATGTATGAATATATGTATGAATGTATAAATGAGATGAAACGAACTGAAATGAAATGAATGAATGAATGAATGAATGATTGAATTGAATTGATTTGAATTGTATTGCATTGTATTGAATTGAATTGAATTAACGAATGAATGAATGAATGTATGAATGAATGAATGTATGTATATATATATATATACACATACACACGATGAGTGGTAACCATGTGTGAGGTACGCTATAGGCAGCACATAAGCAGGTTTTGGTAATATGTGCTAGATTCTGTTAGATTTAGATTGATATGAAAAGATAAGGTCCAGTGACGAGGTCGTGGCTGTCAAATGTTGCAAATATGTGCAATTGGGGGGCTGTGCTTCCAAAATACTGTAAATAGCTTTCAAATGCGAGGTTTGGGGGGGAGAGGGGAGGCATACCATTGGGGGGGTGTGGGGCTGTGGGGATCCTGCGACCTGATGAATATATACGTGTATATATAATTATATATATATATGGTCGGTGCCGGAATTATAGAACGGAAGTTGAGGAGTACGAAGGTACGGTCATTTACCGTACCCCGTTGTTCTATAATTCTGTTTTCCTCGGAAGGTGTGAAAAAAAACGTATCTGAATTTACTCCTAACTTTTTTCGTCGTTCTACAATTCTTGTCGGAGCGCTGCTGTTCTATAATTCTGTTTTCCCCCATTTTTCTCACATTTCCCATTTTCGTTCTATACTTAATGTTTCCCGGGCCCCGTTCTATGATTAATTTTTCCGTCGAACGGAAAAGTTAATTATAGAACGGAAAAATTAATTATAGAATTATAGAACCTCTTCCGGGGTCCCAGAAATCCTATAAAATCACCATGAAATCTAAGAAAATCACCGTGAAATCCCATAAAATTACCATGAAATCCCATAAAATCACCATGACATCTTATAAAATCACCATGAAATCTAAGAAAATCACCTGGTAAATGTAGGAAAAATGAGGGAAAACAGAATTATAGAACGGAAGTTGAGGAGTACGAAGGTACGGTTATTTACCGTACCCCGTTGTTCTATAATTCTGTTTTCCTCGGAAGGTAGAAAAAAAACGTATCTGAATTTACTCCTAACTTTTTTTGTCGTTCTATAATTCTTGTCGGAGCGCTGCTGTTCTATAATTCTGTTTTCCCCCATTTTTCCCACATTTCCCATTATCCTCATGTTATCCTCATTTTATCCTCGTTATCTCATCAAATCCTCATTTTATCATCATTTTATCTTCATTTCCTTATCAAATCCTCATTAAATCCTCATTAAATCTTGATTTTATCCTCATTTCCTCATCAAATCCACATTAAATCCTCATGTTATCCTCATTTTATCCGCGTTTTATTATCATTTCCTCATCAAATCCTCATTTTACCTTCATTTTATCCTCATTTTCTCATCAAATCCTCATTAAATCCTGATTAAATCCTCATTTTATTTTCATTTTATCTTTATTTTATCATCATTTCCTCATCAAATCCTCATTTTATCTTCATTTAATCCTCATTTTATCCTCGTTTCCTCATCAAATCTTCATTTATTTTATTTGCATTTTTCTTCATTTCATCAAATCCTCATTAAATCTTCATCTTATAGATTGTATATGTACAAATATGCTGTAAATATCATGTCAGTGCCAGAAATTATAGATCGGAGCCAGGAGTAATTTAATTATACGAATTATAGAACGGGGAAATTTAATTATAGAACGGGGAAATTTAATTATAGAACGGATCCCCGTTCTATAATTAAATTTCCCCGCGTGGAATCGGAACCCGGAGGAGTACAAAGGTACGGTATTTTACCGTACTTTTGTACTCCTGGCTCCGTTCTATAATTCTGGCACGACCTGTATACATATCATACATACACACTTTTGTACAATGCAGAAGAGTGGATAGAGATATGGATTAGATTCAATTATACAATATATGACATATATCATTTATCAATATATACTAGTAGGTTACATTATAAATCATTGGATGAGATGAGATTAGATGGACAAACAGGCAACAAGTTGACAACTTTGGGGTGCTTACATGTCCAATTTCTCTGAAATATGCCTTTCCTGTCCACTTTGTTGCGCTCTGACCAGCATTGCAGAAGTTGGATTCATAGTCACAGCATGTCACAACCATTTTTCCCTTCAAGTTCGCCCTTGTTGAACGCGCTTCTGCTGTTACAGGGTTTAAGTCGCGTATGTGGAAACTATCAACCTATCAACAACTCAACTATTCATCAACCTGGATCTCAGTTTTTTTTCTTTTGCCTAATGTGGGAAGTTTGCAGGATTGACCCATCGGTGTCACTGAGGCCAGCCAGGCAGTAGCATCATCTGCGACCCCGTCGTCTTCATCGTCCTCTCGTCCAGGAGTTGAGGTGCAGCGCAGGAACGTCCTCCATCTCGTTAGTACAGCCCTGTCCAGAAAAAGTTGCGCATTCGGTTGTCAAATCTTTGTTTGTTTGTTTGTTTATTTGTTTGTCTTACGGTTTTGAGATATTTTTCATTGACCACAGGCATGATTTCCATATGATTTCGGGATATTTCGGGATAGGTCAGAATCAAGCTTTCAACTGTCCGAGCGCGTCGCGCGAGGCATCTGTGGTGGTCGCAGGCGCCGCGTTGGCGTTGATGGGCCGAAAGGCAACTGCCCCCACTGTGAAGCAACTGGTCAGGGCGGCCCAGTGATTGACAACGGGATGTTCCATCGACTGAAATTGCAAATTGCTTAGAACGCAATTGGATGAGCTGTCAAGCGTAGTCGAATCATTGAGGGGACGCAACAACAGACCCGGAATTATTTGGAAAATTGGCAGACTTTCTCATCATTCTCATTCTCCATCAAAAAGATAAGACAGCACATCAACCCCAAAAGCTACAGCGACACGCAGTTGGATGTGGCAGCGCAAAACTGAGTTGCAAAATGTCGCTGCAACATTTCTTTACAGGGAACACTGTTGGCAAAACATCATCTACTGCAAATCCCAGAATGTTTTGACAACACGCGGCAAGATACTCTGAAGACTTTCTCGCTGTGACAAACACATAACTTAGTCGCAAAAATCAGGCGCAGGCCACTGAAATTACTCCATCAAAATCACGCCACAGGGATCAACAAACATGTAAAATACAACGTTTGTAGACTTGACACTCCCGCCAAGCCAATGGGTGGCCCCTTACACTGCGCTGAATCATGTTTGAAGAAACACTTGCGGCCACTGTGAAACTGCTGGGGTGCTTCGTCGCGAGGGGCCTTTTCCTTTTTTCAGGATGGTACAGTAAAGGCTGGTGTTGAGAATTTTGCATTCTTTGGCGAAGCTATGGTCCAGGTCTACAGTACTCGTACTCGTAATCTAGTTGCATGCTAGATGAACAACCATCTTGGTGGACAATCTTTGAAGTTTGGGTGGTTCTCATGCTCTTCTAGGCTTTTGCCCAAAAGGTGCATATGAGCTACTGCCAAAATTTGTCGAATCGAGGAGTAGTATTCGAGATGACTCTTGTCCCACATCTTTGTGTGGAGTTCTTGTTTTTTATCGCGTTCGCCGTCCGCCGTCCGCTCCTTCTCTCCTCCTCGTTCCTTTCACACACAACTCTTACACACACACACAACACTCTTTGTTACACACAACTATTTTGCAGACTCACAGCATTGTCACACACTTTCACACACACAACATTGTCATGCACAACTCTTACACTCACACGCACACACACACAGGACTTTCACACAACATTGTCACACACACACATACAAGTCTTTAAAACACAACATTGCCACAAACACACACACACACACACAACTCTTTCACACACACAACATTGTCACACACACAACTCTTTTAAACACAACATTGTCACACACACACAACTCTTTCACACACAGCACTTCACACACACACACACAACTCTTCCACACACAACACTGCCACACACGCACGCAACATTGTCACACACACGTCACACACAACTCTTTCATAAACAGCTCTTTCACAAACAACATTGTCACACACACACAAAACATCCCCATGACCTAACTTTTGTATTGGGGGGGGTGTGCCCCCATTTGATAATACATCAATTTGGGAAGCCTGAGGAAATGTACGCTTTCTTTCTGTGTGGACATGATCATTTCTGGTGGCTGAATTGATGGGCGGGGATAGCAGCAAGATAAGTGGGGCGGTTGAAGCACTGTGAACTCACTGCGGCTCAAGCTGATTGCTGAGCAGCAATAGTTTATGAACTGGGACGTGGAGGATTCAGGGGCAAGTGAAACTTTTTCCGTAGTCACGCTTGTCCGAAGCTTGATCCTATAGTATCAGCTACAAGAAGTGTGACGATGGCAGCGGAACAAACTTTCACACAGACACTGTCATCTGCTGCCAAAGTACCTAGGGAATGAATGAAGCAAATTGAAGCAGCGAACGGTGACTGAGTCAGCAACTGACTAAGAAAGCCAAGTAACTACAGAAGTGGGCAATGAGATACAATATATATATATATATATAAATATAGATAGATGGATCAGTGGACGAACAACTAGATCAGCCGACGCATGAATAAGGCGGCAAGGGGGTCTTGGTTACCGCTTGGCTTTTGCATGGCATTTTGCGGGCGGCCGTTTTCTGGGGAATTTCACCGTTATCGCGGGGTTATCTCATCCCAGCTATATACATATATTTATTACTCTGGTTGTGACTGGTGGATCAGTCTGTTACATCACAGGTGGTATGGTAAGTGGCAAGTCAAGTCACAAGAAGTGTATGTCTGCAAAGTGCTCACATTACCCTCCCAACTTCCAAACAAAACTCTTTTTTTCTCCTCCATGAACACCTGCAATTATATTTCCCGTAGCCATCTTTGATGACCGGAGGGTATATCATATGTTCAGGTATGTTCAGGGCCGGGCAGGAAGATACATTGAAACGATGTGAAAAGGTTTTCAACGCTTTGTTTTCCAAATGAAGGCTTTCCTATGGCTTCCTCCAGTTCCAGGCGGAAGTGCGTTGAGGTGCCACACAGGGTCAGGATTTCGCAGAATCTTGAACATTTTCAGTTTTGGTGCAGTATTCAATAGTATTCACATTGGATTTCAGATAGCAGAGACAGACATAGACACAAATGACACAACAGATTCTTTTTAAACTACGGCAGGTTGGCAAAATGGCATTATGATGTACTATAATTTGTCAGGGTGATTCAGGGTATTCATGATCTTCAAGACTTGTGCATGGCTGTTGGGGATACGGATTGCTTATTTGATTCTTTGGCTCGGAGTAGAACGTACTCTTTGATTGGGCCTTGGGAGAGCGTTAAAGCCCGTTTCAATAGTGCGCATGGTGTGCCGATGGGAGTATACGTTTGACAATGGGGATCTTGCGTCCCAATTGAACCCCCAATGGAAAGAGATCCCGCCGGAGATCGCCGTGCCATTGAATTGGAAGCTCCACATTTTGTGGACCTGTATTCCCCAGTGACTCTTCTTTGAATCATGTCAACTGCTGTGTTTCATTTCAAGCTGGCCCACCCTAATCCCACCGATCATTTCAAGTTGTTTTTAAGAGTTTGATTTTTGTTCATGCCAGGCGTTTGAAGCCCGGAAGTCCGGAAGTTTCAAAATTGATAGCTTGGAAGTTGCGACCTCGTATGACCGCGTGCTAATTTAAAAAGGTAGTCTGGCCAGATCTTGAAAATATCACAATCAAAATGGCGGCCTCAATCCCACGCAACGTAACCCCAGAAATTCCAACATGAGCCTTCCACTCATAGTCTTCAACTCATCAGTGCCGCTGGCCAGGTACCGAAACCTTCTGAATAGCGGCCTTGCCAGCAGCCGTGGCGGTGAGAAGGCCCTCGATTCTTGCTCTGGAATCAGCCAGGGATAATGAGGGACAAGGGAAAACATAGGGAAACTATGGGAAACTCATGGAAACTCATGGAAATTCACTGTGCAAAGTTCGCAAAGGGTAATAAAGGGTATCAGATCATCAACTGAATCACTACATGGTCGAAGAAATCCATTAGATTTCATTAGATTTCATTGAAATTTACAGAGTTAGTGTGATTTACCCTTCTGTGGTGAAGATCGGAAATCAACAACCCAAAAGCGTTGACCCATCAACCTGGCGGTCATAGCCATCGGTTGCAGGCCAAAGAGATGAAAACCTGCAAGGCAGTGGGTGAGGTGGGAAGCAAGATGGGTGTTTCTCTGGTTGAGTTTGGAGCAGTTTTTATTTTGCAGAAAAGAACCGCTTTTGGGATGATCAGAAGACCCCCAAGTCAGGCAGTTCCATTCCCAAAAAAATGACAGCAAATGACAGCAAAATGGATCCAAATGGCTTCAGAAACAGCTAGGTGACTAGGAGACCTGCTTGGTGACATTGGTGAGTCGTAATTAGGATGGGATAGATCTGGATAGAAAAGTCGAAATTGTTCGAAACTCCAGGTCCGAAAAGAAATAGGGCAAAAGCAACAAGACTTGTTCTTGACCCTTTGATATTGAGACAAGAACCCAGACTGGTACTGGAGAGGATCAGGTTCTGGCCCAGCCGATCCAAGCCGGAGAGTCGCAGCTGCAGGATGAAGAGGATGAAAAGATCAAGGCTGACCTTGCTCCAATCTTGCTCCATTGATCTCATTGGTCGAAAAGGCGGATGGTTGTGGCCTTTGTAGCAGCAAAAAAAGACCCTCAACGGGGTGCCCCCAGGCAACTTTGTAGCAACGGCGTGTAGAAGTACATGTATGTGAACTCGCATGATGTAATCAAATAGTTTTTGGCATACCTATACCACAAGAGTCGGGACCCGAACGTCGGGCCCCGAACGGGGTGCTCCCAGGCAAGTTTGTAGCAATAGCATGTAGAAACACATGTATGTGAACTCTGATGATGTAATCAAATGGTTTGGATGTTTTTGGCATACTTGTACCACAAGAGTCGGGCCCCGAACGTCGGGCCCCGAACGTCGGGCCCCGAACGTCGGGCCCCGAACTTCGGGCCCCGAACGGGGTGCTCCCAGGCAACTTTGTAGCAATGGTATGTAGAAACACATGTATGTGAACTCTGATGATGTAATCAAATGGTTTTTTGGATGTTTTTAGCATACCTGTACCACATGAGTCGGGCCCCGAACGTCGGGCCCCGAACGGGGTGCTCCCAGGCAACTTTGTAGCAATGGCATGTAGATGTAGTGAACGTATGTGAGATATTATGAGATATTGCGAGATGCTAAAATGCTTTTTGGCGAGACAGCTGTGTCCGGAACCTTACCCTTACCCAACATTTTTGATCATTTGTGATACAAAAGACCAATTAAGTGAGCCTGCGTATGTTTGGATACAGCCATATGGTTTTCCACAAGTAGATTTTTTCTGCATGTTTTACTTGCAGGGAATTTGCCAACAGTTAATATTATTTATCTGAACTTTACTTTGATACCCGGATAGCTCGGTTCAAATAAAAGGTTTCCCGGGGTGCCAAAAATGCACTCGAAACTCCCCCACTAACTACTAGATCCATGGACGGTTGCTTTCTCCGATACAGGAATCATCCGTCCAATACCAAATACCAGTAAACTACCGCACAAGGTGATGACGGAAATTTCACAGATAAGAAACTTATAGGCTAGGAGAATTGAGTTGTTGTGATGCATGGATGGCAGAGCGAATCAATTGATGGACCGTAAGGTGGCTGGAGGCAGTGCAGCGTAGCGTAGTTGTAGTTGCAGTTGTAGTTGTAGTTGCAGTTGTAGTTGTTGTATTTGTAGTTGTAGTTGCGGTTGCAGTTGTAGTGCATTGTACTAGTAGTGTAGTGCAAGTTAGTCTAGTTGTAGTGTAGTTCTAATGGAGTTGTAGTGGTAGTGGTGGTTGTAGTTGCAGTTGTGCTTGTATTTGTAGTTCTAGGTTAAATCATTGGCGTTGACAATTTTATAAACGAAGCAATTCTGCAAGACAACTGCCAATTGAAATCAAGCTTGGCACCCAAATGGTCCCGTGCAACATCATGCGACAATACCCGTATTATTTTCTGACTATTAGCGAAGGAAGTTGCAGCAGAGAGATGAAAGGCAGAAGAAAGAAGATCCAGCTGCGAGCAAAGGTAGGGAAGTCGCGAAACACATCGAAACACAGTGTTTTTCCAATGTTTCGGCGGGTGCAACAATGTCCTTCTATGGCGTCTCCCACAGAGACTATCCTTGAATGCCGAATGTCCTTCTATGGTGTCTCCCACAAGGACCATCCTTGAATGCTAGATGACATTAAATGATTGCCTTTAGTTATGGACTAGCTTTGCCTTGACTAAATCCAGTGGATTTAAACGAGGCAGAGGGAAATATGGCAAGGCAACCTGTGTTGACTTGCTGACAAGAGACCCGCCTTGCTTAAATCCACTGGATTTAAACGAGGGAACTTTTTGCCTGGAATTTCAGACATTGAGGAATTTCATTGTTGCTTCGTCTGTGGGACATTTTTTTAAATTCCAATTGTGCCCAAATCTGCGTTTTTCGAAACCTACGTTGGAATTAGAGGCTTCATTAGCCTTCTTTCCCCCCACCAGGTTTAGGGGCGCGCAGAGGCTCAATTCTCCCCCGGATCTGGAATTGTGTTCTTTGTGTGGGCTGTTGTCAATTGAATTCTTCAAAGTCTGGAATTCCAGGCGAAAAGTTCACCTCGTTTAAATCCAGTGGACTTAAGCAAGGCAAGTCTCTTTTCAGCAAGTCAACACAGGTTGCCTCGCCATATTTCCCTCTGCCTCGTTTAAATCCACTGGGTTTAGCCGAGCCATGTACAGCGAGATCTTGGCTGACATGAGCCCGCCAAAAGCATAAGTGATAGAGGAAAATATCCCGGGAGACCGAGGTGCCAAGAGGTGCCAAGTTCCGAATTAACGATGACCCTAACGAGGCGAGGTACTAGTGACCAGAGCAATATTGAAGAAACGAGGCAGACGAGGTAAGAATTATTCTAATTTGCCCAGATAGAAGGACATATTGGCAATTGATTTAGGATTCTATCATAATCCCTGTCGGAGAAAGCCATTGTCAATTGATTCAATTCAAGGATGATCCGATCCTGGTAGGAGAAAGCCATTGTCATTCCTACAGGTACTGCCGTCCCGGGCGCCTTTGAGCTCACCTATCAGAAGGGACACCAGAGGGGCTGTGCCTTGCACGCCCTTCACTACTTTCTGATGACGAAGCACGCTTCACTGCCATGGGCTACTCAGATGGCAGTAAAAGTCAAGGCCAAGTACCAAACCCGAGACAAGGCGGAAGCAATGTGGCTAGGGTTGAGAGAAGCTGCAAGGCACAAACTCAGAACGGCCAACTTTAGCTATGTGCATATCGCTGAAATGCTCGGATCGCCTGAGAGCCCTTTGAAAGATCTTGGATTAACAGTTTCTTGACTTCTTCAATCATTTTCAATCTTTGACAGACAGCGTTTTATATAAAACCATGTTCTCCATGATGTACCAAGTTCGGGTATTTTTGGAAGATGTTGTGTTTAGCTGACTACCTGAATCCAAATGATTTGCAGGGAGCCAGCTGTGTACAGTTGAGCTATTTGTGATCTTGCCTTTCATTGCCTTTCAGATGCGGGGTCAGGCATTTCAGAAGGCTTTGAAGAATGCTGTGGGTGAATCGTCTGCAGCAGCATTGGCGAACCAGCAAGGCTTTCACCGGTTACGGTTTGCCACACGGGTGAGCCCTCGGTGCATGGCAGCTTTGCGCTTGTACCAGGAATTCGCAGAGGGCAAGCCAAGCAAGAGTCATGCTGAGGGTCTAAGCAACATTTCCGACCACTATCATGCATCATCATGAACATGCATCAAACATTCTGAATTCCCAGCACTTCCCCGCTTTCTTGATGACTTGGATCTTCTTTCTTCTCTGACTCTCTTTCTTCTCCCACACTCATTGACACTCTCTTCTGACTGCAGGATGAGACTTTGAATGGTGAGGAGCTGATTCCCATTTCCGTCTGGAAGAGTGACAGTAGATTCTTGTTGCTTCCAGAGCACAGAGCCCGAGACGGAGCGGACGGCTTGAGGGAAGAGGAGCGGTACTACTGCATCCAATGCTTGATCGCTGACCACAAAGGTTTGGTGCGCAATGTGCTTGCTAGGCCGGGCTTTTTGCAACCCAGAAGTGTAAAGGTGTCCATACGGGCCTTCAGATGAGTTGTACAAGAATTCCACATATTTCCTCTTATTTCCTCATGTTTTTAAAGAACGAGTCATGATGATGAATTGTGGCGCTTGTGTCAGGCATGAATCTGCTGAAGAAGATGAAGGAAAGAAGGCGAAAGGTTGTGCATCCCTGATGACTCCCGAAGGAAGGGAGCATGGGCGAAAGGTGTTTTGGCTGTTATGGCTAGCGGCTTCCCATTTGTCACCCAGCATCTGGGCAGACAGGGTTCTGTGGTTTGGCCTTTAAGTTTCCCGCTTGTCTCCCAGCATAGCCACGCTGGGTCACATGCTTTTGCTTCTCTTTCCTGCATGATTCCCAGTTGTTTGCCTATAGCGTCCTAGAGCATTGATATGGGCACGAGTCAAAATACAAGGTATGGATCAAGGCCCCGGACCCACACACGATCCATCCCCCCCGATCCATACCTTGATCCATACCCTATGATACTGCATGATCCATACCCTTGATCCATACCCCTTTCTCGATGAAGAAAGATTGATTCTGGCCGTAATCTGCTTTTTATCTAATACTGCTTCTGGTCCTGGTAATGCTACTCCTGTTGCTACTACTGTTGCTACTACCGTTGCTACTACCGTTGCTTCTACTGCTGCCTCCGCTGCCTCCTGCCTCCGCTGCCTCCGTGCTGCTGCTGCTGCTGCCACTACTAGTCATCTTCCTCCCAGGAGCTGCTGCTACTGCTTCTGCTGCTGCCCCTGCTGGTCCTGCTCCCGCTGCTGGTGCTGGTTCACCTCCTCCGTGTGCTTCTGGTAGTTGGGCAAATGCAACTAGTTGACTAGCTACTAGCAATATTGCTAGCGCACCTTGGAGGCTAGTAAGGCCGGTTCTAGTTCCACTAGGTGCTTCTTGTACTTCTATAGCGGCGCTGTGATTACAACTCCTTCTGTTTCTGCTTTGCCTGGCATGTGTAGACTAGAAATACCCCGCTCTCTTCCTTCACAGCCATAGCGGGAAAGCCGGCCCAGATAGCGTGTCCCGATCCATACCCCGCTCCATACCCGTTCCATACCCGATCCATACCCGAACCCAGTCACGCCACAACAAATGCCAATATGAAAGTCCGATTCTATTACTGCTTCTGCTGCTGCTTCTGCTTCTACTTCTACTACCGCTGCTGCTGCTATTCCTACTCCTACTCCTACTCCTACTTCTACTCCTCCTACTACTCCTAGTACTACTGCAGCTGCTACTGCTGCTACTACCATTAGATTATTATTTTTTTGACTTTTACTAGTACTACTGTTACTGCTACTGCTATTTCTACTGCTGCTGCATCTTCTCCTTCTATTGCCACTACTGCTGCTGGTGCTGTTTTTTTAACTGCTCCCTCTACTAGCAGTGGTAACAGTTTTAGTAGCAACAATAGCAGGAGGAGAAGTAATAGCAAGTAGCCCGGCGATTGCTGTCGATCCACACTCTGAAGATGGCATTGTGCTTTGCCAGATCAATGCCAGCCACTACAACATTCATGAGACATCCCTATACTTGGCGGTCACACTGCATGCCCCAGTGCAAGATGTGATGCGGAAACTGGCGGGCACAGGATGGGTTCCCGGCGCCTGGGCCATTGTTGGTTTAATTTTCAGGGGGATGGTCAGTGATAGTCATGTGTCATCTGGTGCCATCTGGTGCCTTTTGTGCTTATGTGAGGCATGGGAACGTCCTGGAATTGCAGGCCTGCCGTTTCCATGAGATTGCAATTACCATCTATTGATATCTGTTTCCTATATTTGATGATTCCGCTTGATTTTTTTGTATTTGGAGTTCGGGTGACATTCATTTTTGAGTTTTCAGGAAGCCTTTGAAAAACTGAGGCATGAAGATGGACCCCGCTACGAAGAAACCAGTGGGGGTGTTCACAGCAGAGAGTTTCGGCTTGTAAAAGTCTGGACGCACCAACATCGAAGAGTATATGCAGATATGCTCAAAACTGTCAAAACTGTATCAATCTCTGACGGGACATTCACTGGTGGATCAGAAGGGGCTGGTGCAAGTCCTAAATCCACCAGTGAGCTGGCCTGGGGTTGTAGCCAGGGTGCACCTATTTTTCGACCGCTTGCTTTGCACCAAAAAAATTGGTCAGTCAGGTCCCGCCATCACTTCTGCCAATTTTTCAAAAGCGGTTTGGCGAAAGTTCTCAGAGGTTGCCCCAACTGTTCAGAATGGGGCGAAGCCCTTCTTGGTTTTTATCCAAGACATCGACAAACAAGCGCTACCCGCGCTACCCGTGCCACATTGATATTGGGACCTGAGGCAAATAAAAAACCGTGCGGTAGAGATTTAGATCACGAGGCCCCTTTTGTCACAAACCGCGATAACCTTCATGGTACATCAAACCGATAAGATGCGATCAGGATGTAAGAACAGAAAGGAGACATAGCGTAATGTGAAATCATGTAAAGCGAAAAATAAAATGACACGGTTTTAATTTTCAACCTCACCAGGGAAAGCCTGGGATAGCCTGGGTTTGGATCGCTGCAGGGGAGTGCAGTTTAAAAAAAAAAGCTTGGTGGAGCCCATGCAAGATTGCAGAATTGCTTTTTGATAGATTTTAGCAATAGGTACGACATGCTACCAAAAGACATGACATATTTGAATCTTCACTGGCCCCCCCCTTTTCGCTGCCAGGTGTTCCCATTCCATGAGACCCAGTGTTTTCCACGTGTCCAGGTTGCTACACAAGACCGTGCGATGGTCCGATGCAGAGAAATGCCTTACAGAGTAAGGTCCACATGCAATCCACAAGTTTAGGAAGGGATATCAAGATTGATTTGAAGTAAGATATTGCATAATACTGCAGGTCTTTTAGAGTAGGTTGGGACGGATTTTGGCAAGGGAATGATCTCAAACATGCTCCTCCTTTGGATCCTTTAATATGGTAGCCTGTACAGCCAATTCTCTTTGTTCGTCCCAAAGATTCCCAAAGTGTGTCCCTGGGAGGTGCGTGAACGGCACCTGTTGGCTGCGGTGGGCGAAGCGAAGAGGTGGAACCAGCAACTCCCGCTACGTTTTACTTTCACCTACGAAAACATTTGCTTTGAGGGATGCCCAAGATCTCGAACCTTGTCATAGCTGACTCTCCAGGCCATACTGTTAGCTGCCCGACCTGCAAATCAGAGGAGCCGCAGTGCTGATCCCCCCATGGATTTCCGGGCATTTTGGTGGAAACATGTGGAACTGATGAACTCTGTGATCTTAATGCTACGACCTTCCAATTTGGCCTGAAGCAAGACATTGAGGGACTTCAGATAGATCTTAAAATGGGAAAGATTCGCGGTATTGACACGCCAGAAAGCGGTGGACTTTTGAGCTTTCCTGGGGCCAGCAGGACTTGACTGGCTTCAGACATGAAGCGGGATGAGGGGAATGCTGTGGGGAGCATCGAAGGCTTCGAACAGCATTCAAAACGCACCATTGATTTGTGAACATCTAAAATCCCAAAGTATATTCTCAAGGTTGGTAGTTGGTACTGGTAGGTCCTTTCAAAGCTGAAAGAAGAGTTGCAAATCAAAATTGTTGCTGACTAGATCTCATTACCATTTCTCTCACTGAATGTGAGTCAGTGAATTTTTGACCTTGGTATTGAATGCGATTGTTGAGTTCATAAAACTGAATGCCAGAACAGTTGCACATTTTGATTCAGTCAGCGTTCATCAGGCGCTGAGATTTGACATATACATACATGTATACTTTCTCCGGAATTTTTGATCAAGGTTGTGCCAGGTTGGTCTGACTTGACCATGGGAGTGCCGGCACCAAGCGGGGCTAAAAACGTACGCTCCTGCCCGCACCTGGCGACATTCCACACCCCCGGCTTGAAAAGAGGTGTGCTTCAGACTTCAGGCTTTTCACCCTGGTGATCTTCGCTGATTTGACCGGCGGACACGCGTGTGCTCCAGCTTCGGATTTCAGCGCTTCGTAGTCATCTTCATATTCATCTTCGTATTCATCTTCGTATTCATCTTCATTCTCTTCACGCTACCGTATTGACTATTCCATATTTTATTTGTCTCTGCGCTGTTTCTGCTAACGACTTCTATGCCCCTGCCACACAATGCGGTTGACTTCCTGCTGCTCATTTGTGGGAAATGGCTCGGCCAAGAATTTGGTCAGCATAGGTTGCACAGGGATGTTCAAAGTACATGCCATGATCTGACCCGCTTGCTTTGCAACTGCGTTTTTTCCAGGTTGGCAGACACACTGATAACTCGGAAATCCGTTGCCCATGACTGGAAACGCGTATGTGAGATTTTTTCACTTTGTATTCAGTGGACCTATCCAGTGAACGGGAAGTCGCGAAGGGTGTGCCCACATATCGAGGCTATGCTATGTCTTTTCTGTATCTCTAGAACAATTCTCTGGCTTTTCAAGAACGCATCTACGAAGAGAGGGGTTGAAGTACTTCGGCTGCTAAAACCTGATTTCATACACCTCTCCCATGTGAGCTCGCATCCCCCATGCACAAACACGGCCCATGATTTCCTCAGCCTTCAGAGACAGGCGATTTTTCCGACAGGTAGTACGGATTTTTGCATGTACCAGTGGTTTTGTGAGCATTTTCGTTATACAGGAATTGCACAGATACAAAGGCCAAGTGCCCCAAACACTGCTGGACCTGCAAAGCGTTTACATGAACACCTTTTATTGACGGTGCGCCGAAATTACTCTGAATCTGCAAAACTCCGCTACCGATTGGCGCGAAGACATCCATTGGATTTGTGTTGTTTTCTTGTTACTATGGTCAACAGTGAGCCTAGGGTTCGTGCTTGTGAATGGTTTGACATCAAGACCCACTGCCCTAATGCCAATGGTGTTCCCCCTAAAAAAGGTAGAAACCGGTCAAGGGTCCCAAGGCAAAGGCCCTGCCCGCACCTGCGCGAGAAGAAAGCTGTTGTTACATCAGTGTTTGAACAGGACTGTACATCTTTGCGGTTAGAAAAGTTAACAGCTTCCTTTCACCGGCGAATGCTCTTGGATGAGCGTCAGTCTACTGAAGATACTTCTGTGCCTTTCAGCCGTATGTATTTGGACACATTGTGAAAAACGCCTTCGTCAGTATTTGTTTTGGAAACAGCTTCCTGCAAGGCGCATTCATGCCAAAGCCCCTGATGCTACATGCAGAGATGCGCTACGGGCAGTGGTGTTCCGATGCATTAATACTTGTTCTTCCTGGACGACTAGCGAAAAGCACTGGATCCGCTCACAAGTTCGCATCCATACTGGAAAAA